GTTCTGTTGATGGTTTCTTCTGCAGTGCAGAAGCTTTTTAATAAGATGAGCTCCCAGTTGTTGATTCTTTCTGCTAGTTCCCGTGCTACTTAGGATTTGTTCCTAAAATCTTTTCCTATGCCAATGTCTTCAAAAGTTCTGCCTAATTTATCTTCTGGTAAGTTTAGTGTTTCTGTTTTAATATTTAGATCTTTAATCCACTTGGATTTTAATTTAGTGCATGGTGAAAGATAAGGGTCTAGTTTTAATCTTTGGCAGATTGAGATCCAGTTTTTCCAACACCATTTATTAAAGAGGCTATCTTTACTCCAGTGAGGATGAGGATATACTCCTAAGTGAAATAAGTAAGTCACACATGTATAAATACTGAATAGTTTCTCTGGTGTCAATAAACTATAATAGTACATAATATCCTAATGAGATAATTGACAATGTGAAATAGGAAAGTGGGAAGGGTAAGGGAAAGGGAAAAGGGAAAAGAAAAAATAGGAGAAAATGAAAAAATGGAAATAAAGTGTTTGTAAATGTGGGGGGAGAAGGGGGTGAAGGGAGGGCAGGGACAAGGGGAAAAACAGAGAACCAAGACCTGTCGTGTAAAGGTAAAGATTCCAATAATGCATATAACTGTACTGTATTTGTAAAATGTACCAATAAACTCAATGAGGAAAAAAAATACAAAACTATAGAGAGTAAAAAGTTAAATAAAGACTGGAGCTTGGGATATAGGTCAGTGTTACAGTGCTTGTCTAGTATATAACCCTGATCCTCAGCATCAGAAAAAAAGTTAAAGCTTGCCCTATCTAATTTCTTTTCCATATACTGTTAATTGTTTGTATATTCCATAGACTACTTTCTAGAATGACAGACAAATTCAGACACCTTGAGTTATTTACATAAATGGCACATTGTACAGTTCCACTCCTTACTATCTCTACATGTGTACTGTATTTATATTAAATTCCCATCAATATTAAGGTAGTAGAGTGAAAGCTTGAGTTGTAACTCCAATTTTTTTGCTGCCACTTTATGCTCATGGACAAATTAACCTTTTGGTGCCCACTTCCCCTAATTTGTGAAGTGGATGGTAATAAGAGTATGTACCTACCTCACTGGATTATGGTTATAGAAATAGTAAATATTACCTAAGAAAAATGCATGCATAATACCTAGAAGGGCCTAGCAGTATAATATCTATTTAATGGCATCTCTTCAATTTTATAATATTTCTACTGGCTAATTATTCTTTCATGTTGATGAACTATTTAAACTAACATCAAAATGTGAATGCTTCCAAATTGGGATTCTAATGGAATACTATATGCATTTATCTTTTCTATGCCTCTATTGAATTATCCTTAACATAAAATGTCAAAGACTATGCATATATTTGTGCCTTTTGCTTTCCAGAAGGCTTATGCCAGTTTTTAGTGCTACTATCAAGGAATTATTGAAACCAAGAAATATTTTGCTACTTCAGTAGTCATAAAATGGTTATTTCAAATCTAATTGTATTTTTATTGCATTCTTGTCAGCATATTTGTTCAAAAGTTTGCTTATTATTCACCTTTTTTCATTGATTCTACAGATACTGTATTTATTGAAAACATGGGTGTGTCTTTATTATAGGGACTGGATATAGTAATAAATAAAACAGATAAAAAGCTCCTTATTAATATCATTGTATACCATGATTGTGTCCAATTAATAGTATAGTCTCTTGGGCAGGGGATGTAGCTCAGTAGCACAGCACCTGCCCGGGTTCGATTCCTGGGACCAAAAAAGAAAAGTGAAAAAAAAATAGTATAATCTCTTGGGTACTATATTAACTATGGCTATTTAAGCTAGCAGGAGCAAATCTGGGAGGTATTGGGCCTTTCATTATATAGACGGATAGGAAGACATGTCAATAGTGTCTCTTCCTGTAGAGGTAATTTACTTAAAGATTTAAAATAAGAAAATGGATTAGTGAAGCTTTGCATGTGTGTGTGTGTGTGTGTGTGTGGTCCTGGGGAATAGAATCTAAGGCCCTTACACATGCTAAGCAAGTGCTCTACCACTGACTCACACCTTTGCCCTGGTAAGCATTTTAAAAGATTATTCTTACAATAATAAAATGTGACTATATTATGAAGTAGAAAGGAAACTTTACACGAGTTTTTAAAAGATAAAATAGTTTTCAAGGAATTTTCTAACATTTGACCTAATATCTGTTTCCCTTGGTAAGCAGTCATCTATAACTTGTGGATTTCACTGTAAAACCTTTACTATCAACAGACTAGTCAAAACCAATTCTAAGGTACTGTAGGTGAAAACTAAAAGTGATAAAGAATGGTCTTTTATGGGTTTTTAGTTTTTGGTGATTAAAAGTAAGGTTACTATAGGACTATAGGGCCGGGGATTTAGCTCAGTGGTTCCGTTGCCTGCCTCTCAAGAGCAAGGCCCCAGTTCAATCCCTGGTACAAAAACAAAAAGGCTACTATAAACATTCTTAAGAGTTACTGAAGCTGAATGTGGTGGCACATGCTGTATGAGAGGCTGAGGCAGGGGGATCATCAAATTCATGCTTAGCAATTTAGTGAGACCTTGTTTCAAAATAAAGAATAAGCTTAATGTGGTGACACATGCCTATAATCTCAGCACTCAGGAGGCTGAGGTAGGAGGATCACCCCAAGGTCGAGGCCAACCTGGACCATAAAATGAGTTTAAGTCCAGCCTGAACTACATAGCAAGACCTTTTCTCAAAACATAAAATAAAATAGATAATTATTATATTATTATAATTATATTGATAGATAATAAAACAAAAAAGGGACAGGGATGAAGCTTATGAAGGTATGAAAGTTGCACTTGTATCACCATTTTTATTTTTACCAACACTTGTACAGTCTTTATTTTTCTTATTCTAATTAAAATGCAGTAGTTTCTCATTTGTATTTTTCTAATGATTAATGAGGTGGAGCATACCATATTTTCATGTTGCCATCTGGATTTTCTTTTGGTAAAGTGTTCAAATATCATTTGCCCATTTTTTAATGTGTTCTTTTTAAAAAACCTCTAAGTTTTAGTTGCCAATACATTTGAGTATATGCACTGTAATGACTATGAACCACTTTAATGTCACTTTGAGTTTTCTGATTTAAATGACTTTACAATGTTATCGTTCTGAAAAAATAATTTTTCTAGTTTTAATTGAGTTTATTGGTACATTTTAGGTATACAATTACATTCATCATTAGGATCTTGTACCTTTACATGACAGGTCTTGGTTCTCATTTTTTTCCCCTTGTCCCTGCTGAAAAATTTTTTATGTGTAAAATGAAGGGCACTTATTAAAATCTGAAACACCTGCCTTCAAGCTCTAAAAAGATGTTCTGTATAAAACTGATGATAACCTAAAATAGAGCAGCTGTTTCCTCTTAGAATTAAAGTAGAAAAATGTATGATTCAAGAGTAAATAAAAAAATGCTAATGAAATTTGGAAGCTAATTTTCAAAAAGTAAACCAGCAAACCAGTGAGGAATAATTTCAAAGAAAATCTGCTTTACCTTCCCAGAATATATTCCTTGAAGGAAAAAAGAACCATAAAAAGGCAAAACAGTGTTTGGTAGTAAAGCATGGAAGCTCCTTTCAATACATATTTGCACCTGCACCTCTGATTTGCAAACGATGATGCGTAAATTTCAAAATAGCAAAATGTCAGTTTGTTACCAGATTAACATGTCGTTCAGTGTTCTATTCGGCAGAGCATGTTGCCTTGCAAATCTGGATCCTTAACCATGTCTAAATGTTACTGTGGGAAGAGGAGTTGAAGGGAGGAGGGTAATGAGGAAAAAAAGAATCCAGACATATCATTAACAGGTACAAATTCCCTATCATCAATGTTATTATCATGTATATCTAAAATGTACCAATAAAATTAAATTTAAAAACAAAACAACCTATTACTGTAATCTATTTTAATGCCACCGGAACTAAGCAGTTCCTTGCTATTACACTTGAAATCCCTAGTAGTTGCAAATACTAAAGTTCCCCGGGGGCAGTATCCCCTCTCTCCTGTCACCTTCTAAGGTTGACTATCGTTTTCATTCATCCGGAGAAATTCTCAGTCCACTCCTGTCCTCCAGCACACTCTCCAGGACGAGGCTCCACGACTCACATCGGTTATTTCCCGCAGAGAGAAGTACAGGATTAAGCACCTCGAAGACCAGCCGCAGGGATGATTATTTCTCTTTCCCGTTCCAAGCACGTCTCCTACTATAAATTCATAAGTTTCACTTGTGAAACTTCTCATCCTTGAGGAACACAAGTTTTGTCACCAGTCTTCGCCCCTTTAGTAGCCATGACAGCTACGTAAAAACAGATCACTTTTTTGCTTACAGAGTAACAGCTGAGCAAACTTTAAGATTGCATCTGTTACAAATCCGGAGGCCGCGTGTCTTTACAGTGAGGCAAGATACAACCAAGGCGCGAGGATGTGCAGCTGAGAGGAGGTTAGACATTCCCCGCGAGGCCGCAACAGCACCCACGCCCAGGGGTACTGCCCACGAGCCCGGAGAGGTGCAGCGCTGCTAGATCCCTCCTGCCACCGCTTCCTTGCCCGCCCTCAGCGAGCGCAGAAACTCGCTTTCCCAGCAGGCTCCACGCAGCCCCGAGCCCCGCGCCCCGCCCTCTCGCGGTGCTGCTCCCCGCAAGTTCCGGGTCCAGTCGCAGCTTGGCCAGCGAGCCCTTCCTCCGCCCTTCCCCGGCTCCAAGCTCCTTCGCCGACTCCCGCGAGTTCCAGTCCTGTCTTCCATCTCCCCAGCTCCGCCCCCTGTCGCGCGCGCGCTCCCCTCTCCGCCCTGGTCCCCCTTCACCTCCCGCGTGCAGCCAACATAACCAATGAGGTTCAGAGCCGCGTGCGCAGATTCAAACGGCGGCTCTGAGGGAGGCTGGGCGCGAGATTCGGCGGTGCGGACAAAACCCTGCAGGAGGCTGCGAGCGCTGTGGAGCTGCCTATGTTGGGGTCATCCCTGAACCGGCCGGGCCGGGGATAGGAGCGGCGCCCGGGCCGAGGGCTGATCGCGGTCCGCTCCTCCATCCGTCGGTCCTTCATCCTGCCAGGACTCGCGTTCGGCACTTGGCAGCCGCGGGACGGGAGCGTGGGGGGAGAAGGAGCACTCGCTTGAGGCTGGAGGAGGCTGCCCTGCGTCCCCGCCCAGCTCGCGCCTATGCGGTACTTGAAGGATGGCGAAGAGGTCGCGCAGGTGGGTGACATCCCTGTAATACTGTCTCGGCTCAGATTCTTTCCCTGCGATTCCCTGGGTCCTCCCCGCCTGGGGCAGAGGCTTTCCTTCACGATGCCTCTTTGGCCCTCCTGGCTGGAGCTCAGCCGAGACTTGGGGAGAGTCGGGGTCCAGTGGATTTGACTCAGGAAGAGTAACAAATGCTCAGTTTGGACCTTTGAGTTGATTCTTGCCACCGAAAACGATCAGACTCCTAAATCTCACTCAGCTTCTTCTGGAAGGTTTCTTGCCAGATAAGTCTTTGCGCTTTTAGGTACAATGCTATAGGTAAAAGTGGTTGTGTCCTCCCTGGATGACTTGAAAAATGGTATTCTCTTTTCTGAGCTAACTTACAGTGCCAGTCATAACAGGAACTCCGGGACAAACGTGGGAGGGCACCCCTCTGGCCACTTGCTACCTTCAAAGGTTATGGAAAAAATCTCTTGAGAAATAGTTGAGAGTTGAGAGAGTTTTTCATTCTTTTGTGAAATTTAACGTAATTACTATATCCGTGTCCTCAGCTTTATGTATATACACTTAATATCTTCTAGTGGGAAGCTGTCACACTGTTACTACCAGTAGGCTGATTTTAAGAATATAACAATGTATTTACTGAACATTTTGAAGGTTTGGCTCTGAGTGTACCTGATTTGTACAGATGTGGGACACACTTTTTGTTGTTGGAAAATACACCCGGACGAATTTGATTTTTTATTTATATGTCACTGCAGTAGCTACTACTAAAGTAGGTGGAGTAATCACTTAGATGACAAAATCTACAATGTGTTTTAATTTTTAGTATTATTAAACATAAAAATATGTTTGACAGAATTTCCAAATATTTTAACTATATCTACAACTTCAGTCTTCTAGAGTTGTAGTTACTGGGTACAGGGAATCATTTATTGTAGATTTTGGTTGAAGATTGACAGCTAACTACATATAATATTCTTTGTACTAAGCTTCTGCTATAAGATGGTTCTGCAGAAATCAGCATAAAGTATAATATAGTTATTATTTTATAGCAACTCCAGTGTTGAATGAACACTTGTGGAGCAAATGTATACACACACACAGACACTCCCATCCCCTCTACAATATGATTCAAACTTGTTACTATTGACCTTTTGGATCAGATCATTTTTTTTGTAGTGGGGAGATGTTTTGCAGCATCCTTGGTGGCTCAGTAGGCGACAGCAACACCTCACTTCTGACAATAATGACAATCAGAAATTTCCCTAGACATTGCTAAATGTCTTTTGGGTGAGGGAAAGTATCATCCAGATGAAAATTACTTGTTTAGAAACTCAAGGATGAAAGTAATCTCTCCATCTCCAGAAAAGATACAAATTAAAACCTCCTATAATTGTAATTGCTGAAGCACTGATTTAGGCCCTTTGAATTTTTAAGTCTAAAAAAGTTTAAAAATACATGCAAAGTGGCAAGTGAATATGCCAACAGAAATTGGTTTATATTTAATACATGGCATTGTGTATTTAGATGTTAATCTTATTTAAAAGTTTCGTGGCTAATTCTGTCATCACACATTAAATTTATAGACATTAATGTCTGACTGTCATAATCTTCTGTCCATTTGGTTTTCTTTGCCTTGTACGTTGTGTATGTTTCACAATAGTAGGCTATTATCCTTGCATAATTTATCTTTTATTGACAGTATTTTGAGCTTGATATTTAAACATTAATTGTATTGTTGATTTTTATTCCTTGTCAGTGGCGTGAGTTAATTGAAACATACAATGAGTTAGAAGAGTCATAAGACTGGAATAATTAAGTGTGGTGGAGTGCAGCTACACTCCCTCTGGGAACAAACAGATAGAGGATGTGAGAAATTATCTTCTGGTGTGTTTCTTAGGGCCTTCATACTTGAATGACTTGCATGCTCTAAATTATATTTCTTGTATATGTAAATATGACATGTATCTTAAGTAACACATGTGCAATGTCTTGGAGAAACAGTATATTCATTGTGCAAAGTATTTTGTCTTTTGGCTAAGAATCTTAATATATATAAATCTAGTTCATAGTAGAAAGAGGAAATAAATAATTCAGTCATTTCAAGTTATATTTCCAGTGTACAACCACTTAAGAATTTGAATGAAAATTATATTTTGCTATACGAAAGTTTTGTACAAGACTATAGGTGTAAATTCTGTAACACACTTTTTCTGTGTAATCTGAAAAAACCATCTAAGAGTAGGAAACTGTTACCTCCAATGTGAAACAAATGAAATATGTTGGCTCTTGATTTTTTTCGGGGGGGAAGCCATAGAATCTATCATTAAGGTTTACATAAAGGAAGAGGCTTATTTAGCATTGTGACTTAATATAGTTGTAGATCACACTTGAGGTTTTAATGACATAGTTTACAGGCAATACTAAAATTGGGATTCTGTTATTTACATGTATTTTATTTTAAGCACATTTCTATATAAATAATTTTAGGCTAGTTCTCTAAAAAAAAAAAAAAGCTGCTTAGAAACTATGAAGACTGTTACCAGTAAGAAGATCAAGGTATTTATATTTGAGGTGACCAAATACTAAACTGAAAAAATAAAAACCAACTCTTAACATTGGGGAAAAAAATGTGTGTGTGTGTGTGTGTGTGTGTGTGTGTGTAGCAGTTTTGGTGTTATTTCTGGCAAAATGGATAGAAGTTAAGTATACTGAAATATGAGAAAAGACTTTTTTTTCTTTTTATTGAGTTTGTTGGTACAATCTAGGTATATAATACAGTTACATTCATTATTGGGATCCTGTACCTTTACGTAATAGGTCTTGATTCTTATTTTTTCCCCTTGTCCCTGCCCTCCCTTCACCCCCTCCCTCCTGCCCTCCCCATTTACAAACACTTTATTTCCATTTTTTCAGTTTCTCATATTTTTTTCCTCTCCCTTTCCCCCACCCTTCCTACTTTCCCTACACCTTTAGCCCTTTACTTCCTATTTCACGTTATTAATTATATCATTAGGATCCTGTGTACTATTATAGTTTTTCACACCAGAGAAACTATTCGGTATTTCAGTTAAAGAAATCCCTGTATAAACATTAAAAATAGGGAATCCTAAAATAAAACTAAAAAGGAAAGTAAAAGAGAAAAGGCAATGATGTAAGATTAAAATAATCCTTAATTCTGAAGATGAAAATGGTCCCTTAACATATTTAAATTGCTTCTTGCTCTTGTAGTCTTACCTTATGAGACAAGACTTTTTGATTAGCTTTGTCATTAGCTGGCAAATTGGGAAACCCAAACTTATCTGCTAATATAGGGATTTGAATTTTATGTTATATAAGGTAGCTTCTAGCTTTACTTATCCTGTTTTGAGGGGCTTTGCAATCTTTTTCTCATGTAAAAATATGCTCTAAAGGAATCAAATAGAAATATTCCCATTTTGCTTTTATTTATGCATAGCTAGGCAGAACTCTCTTCAGTATTTATTTCAGTATTGCTACTGTCAGTAATGTCCAAAACTTATGTGAAGTTAAATTTATTTTACTGTAATGATACTAGTTTGCACAGTCCAGATTTGGAAATAAATATTCATGTATGCAGTACATCATATTAACCACTGGGTGGCCTGATTTCACTTTATTGAATCAACCTGATAAATTTTCATATCCTGCATGCAGTTGAACCTAAGAAAATTAAAGGCAGTTACCCTATTCTCAAGAAATATGATAAAGATTTCAAACTTGAAGTTGTGATTAAAGATGTGATTAAGTTGAAACAATTATAGTATAACACATTCTGTAGACCTGATGCTTCCCTGATTTCAAACCACTAGTTGCTTTTCCAGTAAAAATAAATTTCAAAATATTTGGTTATATCATTTTTCTGTTTTTAGGTGATATGTTGTTACCTTTTAAAATTGAACTTTTTCCAAATGTTTTAATATCATCAAGCATGGGTAGTTTGTATATTTTTTTTTCACATGTAAAGTTGTGACATATCCTGTTAGCTTACACCTGGTATAAAGTTATTTTTCACTATCTTCCTAGTCTTTTAGTTGTAGAACTCTTTGTGCTTCCTTTTGCTGTTTCATAATACCCCAATCTCCTCCTTTATTCATAACTTACAAAACTGTTTCCATTTGACTCTAATAGCTTGGTTATACATTAGACATTTGAAGAATGAATATTTCCTTTGACTTGGAAAGCTGACAGAATAATTCTCAAAATCAAGACTTGAACTAGAGCATCAAAGACCAAATTCTTCTATTTTTGCTTTGTGAATGGAGAAATAATTTTACCCTCTCTTGCTGTCTTCCAGAATAATCACAGTAGACTACAAATGGTTTATTTAAATACATAGTAGGAAGCTTGGCTTTATTGACCATTACATATTACAGTACTGTTGCTACAATATTGAAATGCCAAAAGATAGACTAAAAAATAGAAAAATAGAGCAGATCTATTATTGGGTGATGGGATTTTTCATTGTTATATAACAAAAGTGGAATAGTAGTAAAGTTACTTGTGGAAATTTCTTTTTCTTGGTAAATTATAGGCATTCTTAGGCCATCTTCCTATTGTAGCTAGTGATATTAATAAATTTCTAGGGTCTCTTTTCTGTTACTCTTAGTTGAAAGGTATATAATTCTTCCAGTAATCACTTACATATATGTAGAAATAACTTGGGGCTAAAGGTATAGCTCAGAAATGAGCACTTGCCTAGCATGCCCAAAGCCCTGATTCAGTCTCTAGCTCTGAAGAGAAAAAGAACTTGATGCCCAAACTAAATAGATTAGACTCTAGGAAAGTCCCAGTGGTAGAGATGATTCTAAGAATTCTACTTTAATGCTCTCATATTTACCCACTCAAAAATTGCAGCTTCCTGAACACTGTCTGAAACTGATGATCATGCTGAATGTAAAACAGTATGTAGAAAGAGAAATTTCTCACAATAAAATATTTGGTTAGAAAATAAGGGGCTAGAGTTTTAAAGTTAAAAGGAACAAGTTTTTAGGAAATTACTCCTTGGTAACTAGTCTTTTTGAACAAAGTAAGACTTTGGACTCATTTCCTTAAAATATTTTGATAACCTTAAGGTGGATTTTGTACAGATTAGATATGTTAATGTTTTTGTAAATACTCAAGATTTATATGGGCAGATTCTCAAAAATTATTTTGGTTCAGAAATAACCCATTAAAAAATAAGCAATCTCAAAATATGCTGTTGTGAAACCTGTTGGGATCTGAAGAGAGCAAAGAAGAGGAAATCTTATGAAAAGCATGCCTGAGGGTCATTTGGAGTGTTAGGAAAGAATTGTGTTGCTAGGAACGCTTCTAGGAAAGGTTAGGCAGTGTGGTAGACACTAGACGGTGGTGAATACTGTCTGTACTGAATTCTTAAAAATGTTTCAGCAAGTTCTGCTTCTTAAAATTCTACCACTTAGAGGTGCATTTGGATTCTGAAAATACTTTTTAACAAATAGGGATGCCTTCTACACCCTCCTAGAGGTATTTTCATTTGTTTAAAAGAACAAAGTTTTCTTTCTTATATCTACTTTGAAATCACACTTCTCTTGAGAAAGATGGAAGTTTTAGGTGAGTTGGAAGGAAATGAGGTAATTTTGGAATATAGATTAGTTGAGGGAGATAGAAAGATAAGGAAAATCTTTATTAAATTTTACAAATGTTTGAATGCTTGGTCCTGAGAGGTGAACATGATAGTTGTATGCACTCTTGAGGTTTACTGTTTAGCTGGGAAAGTTGATACTTTATTTGATTTAGTAACTCAGACATTTATGAAATTATTGCATTCTGAAGCATCACCAATTTAACAGTTTACTCTTGGCTGATTAGATTATATTTCTGGTAGCTAAAAATGGTTACCAATAACAGGTTTTTAATTAAACCTGTGGTTTTGGTATAATTTAATGAAAAAGCACATGTGGAAGTAGAGTGTTACAAATTGACCTTGGCTTCAGGAAGAGACCACTAGAAAATTAAAGTGCATTCAGCTATGGAAGTAGATTAATATCATAAAAGAATAGAGTATTTTGGTTTTCTCTTTGCCTATTCAGATATGAAGGATTTACATTCTATGAAATTGAAAATTCAGTCAATTAGAAGTTCCTGTAAAGGTTCTGTAGACAACATATATTAAATCTAGGACTTCATATTTCAATTTTGTAAGATTGAGTAAATATAGATATTAGGAACCACTCACATGTTGTTAATTATATTTCACTCAGGTTAGACATCTTCACACTTTGCTGTTTGAAATCAGAATGGATTTTTAGAAAATAGTTAAATGTAGAAAGGCAAAATTCTTTTGAATTCTGTTAAGTGATCACATTATGCACATTAATATTGAGCCATCTTTCTATTCATTGTTGTATGAGATATAATATAGGTTTTCTCATTTAATTTTATCCCTAAGCCAGTACTGAAAGGTAGATGGCATTATACTTATTTTTACAAACAAGTGAACTAAACCCCTGAGAGGTTAAGTAAGTAGTTAAATTAGAGCTAGAGTCTTGTAGTTGAGGTTTGTCTTTGGTATCTTCTGGCTTACTAGTACTCTTTATTTTTTAATGTGTTATAATAAGGTGGTTAAATAGTGAACTTTGAAGGACAACCATGACATATTTGGTATGGCTGTGGTCAAAAAGTTCCTTGTAGTCCCAACACTTTGGGAAACTGAGGTAGAAGGATCACAAATTCAAAGTCCCACCTGGGCAATTTTGCAAGACCAAGTATCAGAATAAAAAAATAAAAAAGTCTGGGAATGTAGTTCAATGTTAGAGCACTCCTAGGTTTGATTCCCAGTACTACAAAAAATAAAACAAAACAAGAATTACAGTACTTTTCTAAATCAAGATTTTCTACTTCTGAAGTATCAATAATAATATACCCTTTCTGGTTGTTGTGAAGTTTTCAAAGAGAAGTTTCTTAGACACTACAATATATGTAACTTAGAAAGTTTTAAGTCAGTGTTAGTTCATGTTATTCTTCAGATGCCTAGTTCTTTGGCTGCTCAGAATCCTCAAATTCAGTTTATTCTGGAGGCTTGCCATCTTTTCCTGGGCTTTTTTCTTTAAAATTGTCTTTTTTTTTCACTCCATAAAAGCTCATGTTTTAACTTTTACTCCTTCTTCACTATGTTAATTTTCCTTCATCTCCTGGCCACAGCTATTCTAAACTTGTGTCTAAACAGAAGATCCATATACCTAGTTGCCTTCTAGACCTGTTCTTCCCAATAGGATAGGTGCAGCACTTTTCTGAATTGTGATGTACTATAACTACAGAATACACTCTAGATTTTGAAGACTGTACTAAGCAAAAAGAATGTAAAATATTTCACTTATAATTTTTATACATGTTAAAAATGTATTATTGATATATTGGATTAAACAATATTGAAATTAACTTTAGTAGTTTCTCTTAAAAATGTGGCTACTAGAAAACTATATCATGTGGCTTGAATTTTATATTTTTTGAATATTTCTACCTGTGTTCTTCTCAAGTACTTTAAAAACATCTAGTCCCAAACTGTACTCTTCTTTTCTCCCATCACAGATTTCTGCCTGTTCTGCATCTGTTCATTCTTTAGTGAATAGCATTAGTTGTATTACCAAAGCCAGAAATTTTGGAGTCATCTTTGATTCCTCATACCCATCAGTTACAAAATTCTTGTTTCTACTTTTAAAATATTTTTTAGTTTCATATACTTCTTTCCATTTACTCTTATTACCTTGATTGGTCCATTCTTTTATGGGCTCTGGATTTTTGTCATATGGTAGTTACTTCTGTTCTACTCAGAGATGTTAAAAAGTGGAATTATTTCCTATTTTCTTATAATATTATTATGTTTTCTTTTTAAGAATGCAAATTAATTGTTTCATCTGAATTTTAGTTTAAAGTAGGACTCTTAGTTTACTTTTTAAAAATGTCTACCCAGTATCTTACACCGTTTAGTGAAAGAAAAGTCTATCTTGATACCACTGATTTGAAATGTAACTGTTATAATTTACCAAATTCCATGTTTTTCCCCCAAATGTCCAATACTGTTCTATTTCTTTGTATGTCTGTTCATATGCCAGTACTGTTCTGTTTTATTTTTCTACAGTATATTTTGATAATAAGAATAAGTAATGGTAATTCTCCCACTATTATTTTTTAGATCTTTTCTGGGTGTTTTTCTGGATATTATTACTTTTTAAATTGTTTTCTTTATGAATGATAGGATCAGCATACTTAATTCTTCCCCCAAATCTATTGGCATTTTCATTCATTTAGTATGAATTAATTTAGAAAGAATGGATACTTCTAGAATATTTTCTTATTCAAGAAAGAGGTCTAAATATTTTTGCATTTATTCAAGTCTTCTGTGTTTCATAATAGTGTTTTGTCACTTACTATACCTTGATTTTGAATGTTACACTTATTTCCAGATATTTAACCCTTTTTTTTTTTTTGGTACCAGGGATTGAACTCGGGTCCTTGCGCTTGCAAGGCAGGACACCGAACCACTGAGCTAAATCCCTGGTCCTTAACCCATTTTTTTATTGATACTGTTAATGGATTACTTCTTTAGTTGTGTCTTTAAACTGGTTGTGGTTTGTTTTGTACTATTTTCATTTGTTGGGCCCTAATAATTTCGTGCTTAAGTTATTATGAGGATTACTAATTGGCTTTCCTTCTTTTATTTCACCACACTCTTGCTGTTGATTTTTCTTAAAGCACAGGATATTTACCTTTTGCTCCTTTAATTAAAGTCCTTTAGCTTTTAGAGTAAAGGTCAAATGAAGAATAAATGTCAGACTCCGTAGAAAAACATACAAGGTTATGATTTGGCTGTTAATGGCACATCTGGTCTTGTTTCTTTGATGCTAGTATAACTATATCTCTTCCCCATTGCATGATTTAAGTTTTCATATTCTGAATAACTTCATTGAGTATCTATCTATCTATCTGTCTATGTTTAGTCTGGGTGGCTTCAGTCATACTTGGCACATACAAATTTAATTTACTAATTTAAATAAAATTATTAATTCACAAATAATTATTTTTTTGCAGTGAGGATGAGGATGAAGATCTTCAGTATGCTGATCACGATTATGAAGTACCACAACAAAAAGGATTGAAAAAACTCTGGAACAGAGTGAAATGGACAAGAGATGAGGTAGTTATCTGGCAAGGTTTATTAATTTCATACTTGTATTAGTCAATTTATACTGTTACAGATATGAAAGGTAATTCAAAACAAAATGTATAGAAAAGTTATCCGTCAACTAACTTGTACATTCTTTTTCTTTGATCAGAGACTTGAATAATTGTTTGATACTGTGACTGACAGAACAGGACAGTAAATGGAGAAATTTGTATAATGGTTGCTTTTGTTTAAAAAATGGCCACTAAATATAACTTAACAGAACTAGAGAGTTATCTATTTTCAGGGGTAGAGAAAAAGGATGATGGAAAGCTTTTTAATTTTTATACTTCTTTTAATAGGATGATAAGTTAAAAAAGTTGGTTGAACAACATGGAACTGATGATTGGACTCTAATTGCTAGTCATCTTCAAGTAAGTACAATGTTAAATTATGTTTCTAGCTTGGCTAATTTTTCATTCATTCATTCAGAGATGGAGCCTTACTATGTTGCCCAGGCTGCCCTGATCCTTTTGCCTCCCCTCTACCCACTAGTCTGGGATTATAGGGACTTGCTACTGTGCCTGGATCTGTATATATTTTAGATTTTTAGATTTAGATTTCCTTCCTTAAAGCATTTTTGTTGTTGTTGTTCCACTTGTTGTTAGTTGCTAATGGCTTAGAAAGTCTGATTTTCTAGTACAGATTGAGCATCCCTAATAAAATCTGAAATGCTTCAAAATCCAAAACATTTTGAGTTCTAATGGTATACCTTAACTCATGTAAATAGGTCATAGTAAAAATGCAGGTGCACTAAAAATACTGCACAAAATTACCTTCAAGTCATGTGTATGAGGTGTACCATATGAAACAAAAATGAATTTTATATTTCGATTTGAACCTCATCCCCAAGATATCTTATGAACATGCAAGTACTTAAAAATCTGTACATATATGAAATCTGACACACTTTTGGTTTCAAGCAAGCATTTTAGATAAGGGATACTCACCAAGTAAAACCCTTATCCAGTGGCCTATAAAGATTATCAATGTAAAGCAAAAATGGTATTAAATTTGGATAGAGTTTTATAAATACTTGTGGTGCATGTTGAAACAATTTGAGAGAAGTTATATATTGAAATATTTTGATAGCTAACCAGAAAAATCAGGAAAAACTTCTTTAAAACTTTACTATCTAATGCTTACATTTTAAAGTGTTACTGATTTATAAAAAATCACAGTTTTCATTATGCTAATTCACATACTATTCATATGTAATTTTATAATCTGCACATTTTATTATGTGTATATTCTTGTTTTTAGTATGCTGTGAGTAGACAGAACACTCATTTGAATTTTAATATTAATTACTTTGTTTTCAGAAGCCATGTTGCCTGTTTTTTTCCTATACTGTCATAATAATGTCTCTCATCATAACCTGAAAAAAGAGACCAAATAATGGGAAAAGGATAAATTTTGGAGTTAGTCTGAATTGTATTCAGTATCAGCTCTCTTACCTTAGAAAAATTACTTATCCTCTGGCCTTCAACGTCCTTATAATATGTAAAATGATAGTATTTTTTCTATAGTATTGTTAGAATTAGAAATAATATAGGAGATGTTCGGCATAATTCCTTAAGCAATGTTTAATAAATGGTGCCTAAATTTTAAAAGTTACTTAAAATAGATTTAATTACTTATAATAGCTTTAATTTACAAAAACATAAGAAGAAAACCTGTTTTCAAGAAACCTTGTTTTGAAGAAAGTAGTAATTTTAAGATGGATCAAGATTGATATACAGAAGCCAGGTGTGGTTATGCACGCCTGTAATCCTAGCACTAGGGAGGCTGAGGCAGGAGGATCGCTGTGAGTTCGAGACCAGCCTGAGCTGCATAGTGAGTTCCAGGTCAGTCTCAACTACATAGTGAGACCCTGTCTCAAAAAAATAAAGATGGATACATAGAAACGATAAAAGAAAAAACTCAATTTAAATAAGGATAATTTGAATTTCATTGATACAAAGCCATTGGTAGAAAAAAACATGCCCCTCTTATAAAATATTTCTAAATTATCTGTAATCTTGGATATGAATTAGTAACTGTATTCTGTATATCGTAATGAAATATTAGGTGTTGCTATTTTTATCCTCATAATATGTTATATCTACTAGTCATAAACAGATTAAGGCTTCATTTATTAATCATTTTTGAAGTTTGAGATATTTCTATATACAGCTTTCTTATTCTAGTAAATTCATTTTCTTTTTAAGCATCAGTTCTTAAATTTAACTAAATTTAACTGATGTGTAATGCATATCTTGTATTTAGATATAGTTAACATTTTCTTGATAGCTTGGGTTCATTATTGGTAAACTTCTTTTAATACTATGCAGTAATCTAGTCATGCCTTGAGAGTATTTCATTTTTTCCCCAAGTACTGCAGATTGCATCTAGGGCCTTTGCCCAATCCTTATTTATTTTATTTAATTTTATTTATTTATTTTTTAAATTTTGAGACAGTCTTGCAAAGTCAATAGGTTGACCCACATGAGCTCAGCTTTGTATCTTTCTACCTCAGTTTCGAAGGTTGCTACAATTAAAGCTTATGCAACTAGGCCCAGATTCTTCAGGGGTTTAAAAATTCTACTCTGAGCAAACTGCTATGCTGTTTGCATTCGTAGTTTCTTTTGTTTACTTTTCTGTCTACTGTCTTTTCTTCCTCAGACCTATGTCTGTGTTATAGCTTTGCTATTTCTTGCTATATTATAAGATATAGTTTAGAGTTACGCATTTTAATTTCAAATATTGTTTTAATTTATGTATTTATTTTGTTTGTTTGCTTGTTTGGGTTTTTTGAGACAGGGTCTCACTATATAGTTGAGACTGACCTGGAACTCACTTTGTAGTCCAGGCTGGTCTTGAACTCACAGCGATACTCCTGCCTCAGCCTCCCAAGTGCTGGGATTACAGCACCACCATGCCTGATCAAAAAATTTGTTTGCTTTCTTTCTTTTTTTTTTGGTACCAGGGATTGAACTTGGGTCTTTGTGCTTACAAGGCAGGCGGCAGAACCACTGAGCTAAATCCCTGGCCCTTTGTTTTTATTTTTACTCTAAACCTTGCTGATCAGTTCAAAAACAGAATATGGGTATAGGGATTTAAAATAAATACATATGTTTAAGAAATGATATTTAATATACTATCTTGAAAACATGCTGAAGTGAGACATAAGTTTGGGCTAACTTGCTTTCTGAAAGACAGTTGTTCAGTAACATTCGTATTCTTTCAGAATCGTTCTGACTTTCAGTGCCAACATCGGTGGCAGAAAGTTCTAAATCCAGAATTGATAAAGGGTCCTTGGACTAAAGAAGAAGATCAGAGGGTAACATGTTCATATTCTTTATGTTCACTGTATAGGTATATTAGCTTTTTTCTTACTAATATTTTGTTTTAACACATACTTAAATCACTTGATTTTCTTCTGAAACCACTTAATTTTCTTCTTTGGAGGCTATTTATATGATGACTAAATATTAAATGTCTTGAGATGTAGCTATTTCTGAAATGAGTGAAACCAAGTATAAAATATAATCCATTCTTTATGACTGATTTGCAGAAGGAAAAATGCTTGCTATAAGCCTACCTTGTTTAAAGCTTAGTTTATATGTAGGGTATAGTTTTCTATCAAAAATTGCATCAACAGTACTCACTTTGGCAGCACATGTACTAAAATTTGCATTAACATATTAAAACATTTTAATTTTTACATTTTGATAATTTTGTATGTAAGAAGTTATTCTTAATGTTACTTTGCTAGACTCAGTATGATCTGATTTCCTTGGTGGATGATGATAATGTTTTAAAGTGTGATCTCATTTAAAAGTACATTTAATCCTGAAATTTTCTTTTTAAACATAGTAAATAGATGCCTATAGTAAAAATATTGATATATATTAAATTTAAATATTCCACCAATATAAAATGTTTACAGTGTGATATTGCCTCATGTGAAGTGAGGCAAAGTGACAATGAGATAAAGTGGGCTGGAAATAACAATCTTGTAATTTTAAGTAAAAAAAAAAAATTTAAACTGTGGAAAAAAGAATATGTATTTTAATATGAGAAAGGAAGAAATGAAAAGCCAGTTACTACAGATTCTTCCTGCTTCCAGATTATTTATTTAGGTTCTGCTAAAGCTATTTTTTTCCTTTTTAAGATATAAGAGTAGAAGATACACAAGTGTGAGTATTTTTACTGTTATTTTACAGTGTCTTGTTTGAAAACATTTTAACTTACAAGTCACTGTAGCCCTTAGGTTTTAGATAAATAGGGAGTCAATTTTTGACCTTGTCAAATCCTGAAGGATTGTTTATTGGTAGAATTATTTTTGTATGTTGTAGTTGTGGCTTAAATTTAATGCATTTATTTAAATTGGCATTTTAATGTCTTTTTTATTTTTTGCTATGCTGGGGATTTAGGCCAGGGACTCTCACACATGCTAGGCAAGTACTTTAACATGGGTGATACTTTTAGCCCCAGCATTCTTGAGTTATGTTTTAAACAGAGTAACAATTTTTCACACTTTGTTTTTGCTTCTTAGGTTATTGAATTAGTTCAGAAATATGGACCAAAAAGATGGTCTTTAATTGCAAAACATTTAAAAGGAAGAATAGGCAAGCAGTGTAGAGAAAGATGGCATAATCATCTGAATCCTGAAGTAAAGAAATCTTCCTGGACAGAAGAAGAAGACAGGATCATCTATGAAGCACATAAGCGGTTGGGAAATCGTTGGGCAGAAATTGCCAAACTACTTCCTGGAAGGTGCTTATATAAATGTATATACACTTTTTGTATTTAATCATGATCTTTATTACCTTCCTATTAAATATATTTGTAAGCACTCCATGACTTTTATTTATAATTGAAATTTAGACTGCATAATACAAGGATCTGTTTGGAACATCTGTAATGATTTCTGTGGTAAGGAATATAATTACTTTTTAAGTACCACACCTGCAGACAGACTAAGCACCAGGAGATGAGGGATGTTCTTCATCTTGTCCCCCAAAATGTCCATGGTGGTTACAGCACTAAGCCTGACGTATGATTTATCTTTAGAATTTTTAAAGTATCTAATTTTATCAGTTGTAAAAATTTATTTTCAGCACTTTGTGCAACTTACGCAATATTAAAATTTGGAGTCCTCTTAATCATATACTTTCATTTATTAGGACTGATAATTCTATCAAAAATCATTGGAATTCTACTATGCGAAGAAAAGTGGAACAGGAGGGCTACTTACAAGATGGAATAAAATCAGAACAATCTTCATCAAAACTTCAACACAAACCTTGTGCGACTATGGACCATTTGCAAACCCAGAATCAGTTTTACATACCTGTTCAGGCACATATTTTTAATACCTTTATTATTTTAAAGATCTCTTTAGTCGCTAGATAGGAAAGTGGTTTCTTAATAGGACAATAAAAATTAAGGGGATGGAGAACAGACATCTATAAGCTGAAAAAATATGCTATAACTTACAAATATTTTGGGACCACATTAAACTATTTCCTTTTAATGTAATTTTTACATTAAACACTGTATGTGTATATGTCCTAATACTCATTCTTCTCATCTTCATTTATGATTCAGTTAATTATCTGCTTTCATATCTATTATAGCTTCCATTTTTAAAATGTTCTGTGTAACTATAGGTGTATAAAAATGGATTAAAAATCATTCCAGCCATCTTTTTGGAGGTGCAGTGAATAATTTGCTTTAAAAATTTTTTTTTTAATAATTTGCTTTTGATGTCTTTCAGCTTTGCTTTCCCTCCTAGTAGCCAGTCACTTGGTGGTTTCAGTCTTTATTTAGACAGTCATTAGAGATTACTCAAATTCAAAGAAGGGCAAACCATTTTGACTTTTATAATGCACTTTCCTACCTGCAAGAAACTAGTTTAGGAGTGTTTATGTTTATCTTTTCCTGTGTACCTGTATATTCTGACATTTTTTATGATGAGTAGCTATTGATTCTTTTCATATAAAATGTAAAGATTAAGTCAGGACTAAATTGTGTCTACCAAAGATAAAAATGGGCTGGGTGTTAAAAATCTGTGTTTATTATGTTTCAAATTTGATTTTATCCTACATTTTATGCATATTAATAAGTCTTTTTTAAAAGAGCCACTTAAAAATAGTGACATTTTAATTTACATATAGGGAAAGATGACGATAGCATAATTATCTGATGATACTTAAGATTTTATTGTCTATTTTCTTACATTTGTTCTTTGGAGTCCTATATTTTGGGCAGCATAAACTGAAGCATTCTGCTTCTAGTTTAGAAAGAACCATCATTAAAATTTTTTTTAATTTACAGAAAAATAATTTAAAAAATTACTTGAGGGCAAGGGAGTGCCTCAATCAAAATATGTTGGAAGGATATAAGGTTATTTCTTATACTTTAAGAATTGTTTCCTTTTTAATAATTTTAGAACTATTCATATATCATTCAATTTAAATATTAAAAATGTAATTGTCATAAAGTGTGACTTGAAGATTGAAGTATTGACACAGATTTTCATTCAGCGTTTGAAAAGGAAATTTTAACTTATTTGAGTTACTGAGTAATAAGTGATGCTAACTGAATACTGTACAAGGTATGGTCTATGTTAGAAGTCATATAATTTTGCATTAGATAGTGATTTCTGTAGGCCATTATAGAAAGTAGTTTCATATTTATTTGACTTAAGCATTTTAAAAATACTCATTTATTTTTATCACTGCTCCCTCAATTCATAATTCTTGGGTGTTTTTTTTGGTGTTTTTGAGACAAGGTCTCACTATGTAGTTGAGACTGACCTGGAACTCACTATGTAGCCCAGGCTGGTCTCGAACTCACAGCGATCCTCCTGCCTCAGCCTCCCAAATGCTGGGATTACAGGTGTGCACCACCATGCCCGGCTTTTAATTCATAATTCTTATTACAGATGTTTTAGAAATGAGCAGAATGCTATTTAGTATCAGAGTATGCATTACAGATATCTGGTACTTGGGTGATTCTAATTTTTTGTTGTTGTTTTTTTTTTTTTTTTTTTTTTTTTTTTTTTTTTTGGTGCCGGGGATTGAACTCGGGTCCTTGTGGGTGATTCTAATTTTTTTTTCTAAAATGAGTGATAGAGAAAGTCCGTGTTATCCTGTCTTAACTCAGATTGGCATGGGGTGGTTGTAGATTTGAAGATATAAACTTTCTTCAGTCTCTATCTTGTAAGAGCTTCATATGCATTAATATTTTCCTGTGACAGATAGGAGCACAATTATATTGTCTTCAGGAGAGAGAGCAACCCTTACATACCATGTTTTTAATAATAGTTGGTGGATAATGTTGACAAAACTAGGCTAAGTAATTCTATTTCATCTAGAAGAAATTGAGATATTTTCCTGAAAGTTGTAGCTTTATCAATAAACGCTAGGAATAGATGTAGTTAGTAGATAAGGAACTATTGTAAATAGGAATTTTCAAAATTATTAGAGATACTTTAGTTGTGTTGGTGACATCACAAGTTTTTGTAGTTTGCCTCAGATTTTAAAAAATTTGTATGGTGTTAGTGTGTAATAGTAATGCTTTATTTATTGTCCTTTTTAGATCCCTGGTTATCAGTATGTATCATCTGAAGGCAGTTGTGTAGAGCATATTCAGACTTCTGCTTTTATTCAGGTAACTTTTATTTGTAACATAAGACAAAGGAAATGTTTTCAAACTTTTTTTAAAGTCAAGTAGTGCACTTTTCCTTATCTACTAAACACTATTAAGTTTTGTTTGTTTTGTTATAACATTAAAGGAAAGAATAAGTGGGTTTAAAAACATAAACTCTAAATAAAAGGTAATTGAAAACACCACTTTGATAATTTTTTCCATTTTTCCATCAAAAATCTGCTAAATTGGATAAAATGTATATATTACAATTCAGTAAAACTTAAACGTTCCAGACATAAATTTTTCAGCTGATACAGATTATAATGTTTTTAATGCTTTTAAGTGTTCTCACATCTATTATGCTAAATTGAATATATTTGCTAGTATATCTTTAGGTACCAGGGGGGAATTATAATATATATTATAATTATAATATATATATACAAATATGATATAGTAGTATTAAACTTTATTAGAGAAAATATATTTTAGGTTGCACAGAAAATAAAAATTAGAGCACTAATAATAATAAAGCAGTGTATAAGTAGCCGATTTTTTCTTTTATTTAACTTATTGTAGCAACCCTTTGTTGATGAAGATCCTGATAAGGAAAAGAAAATAAAGGAACTTGAGTTGCTTCTTATGTCAGCTGAGAATGAAGTTAGAAGAAAGCGACTTCCATCTGTAAGATGTTACTATTGATAGAATCCTTCATATATTTGCTTTTATACTAGTCATCAGCTACAGAGCATATTAAGTATGACTTCACATTTTAATATAGAGTAAAAATGTTTTGTTTTTGTTGTGTGTGCTAACAGGGATTGAACTTGGGACATTGTGCTTGCAAGGTAGGGACAGCGCCACTGAACTGAATCCTAGGCCTGATAATTTTTTTTAAATTTGCAGCTAGGAGGTTGCCAGATTTTTTTTTTTTCCTCTTTTTGGTACTGGTGATCAAACTTGGGTCCTTGCAGTTATGAGGCAGGCAGTGGAACCACTGAGCTAAATCCCAGGCCCTGACAGATTTCGATATGCATTTCTTTTAGTAATTTTACAGTGTATTAGGATACAGTGTATTAATTTTTCTGTATTAGGATACTTCTTTTTAGAGTACTTCTTGAGTCATATATGTCAAGCAGATGTAGGGTAAGATCTTTGATACACTTAAGAAAATTATGTGTGGTTTCAATTAGGTCTTGGTTTTATTTCAGACATTCTACATAATGGCATAATAGGAAAATAAAGCTTGAAAAGTGAGGAATTTAACTGTTATAGAGATTATTTATTTATTGTGGTACTGGGGATTGAATCAGGGCCCTTCCTCTGAGTTACATCCCCAGTCCATTTTATTTTTTATTTTGGAAACAGGGTCTTGCTGTGTTTTCCCCACTGGGCTGAAACTTGAAATCCTGCCTTAGCATCCCAGAATGCTAGACTTACAGGCGTGGGCCACCACATCCCACAGGAAGAAAGATTTATAAGCTTTAAAATTATTTTTATTCTCTTTGAAAATTTTCTATTTACTATATTTACAATATGAATTTAGTAAATTTAGAAAAAGTAATAACATTCAAAATATGTAGAAAGGGAATATTTAGATTTTTAAGCTCACTAAAGTCTTTCAAAATAAGAAATTTTATATGGATATTGGGTTTTGGTTACCAGGTATAAAAACTGTTTGAAATTCAGTTAATGAGAATAACTAAGAGAATTAAATTAGGATGAATAGTAATCGTAGTTGAATTAAAAAGAAAAACATTTGTACTAAAAGACAGTAAAAATTTTTAGTTATTAGTGCATTTTTTGTGATAATACATTTTATACATAAAAATATAATTAGAAAAAAGAAATATGGCCAACATAAAGTATTCAATTAAAACACATTTTATTATTTTTTCTTTTTTATCTTTATCAAATTTATTGGTACATATTAGGTATACAATACATTTACATTCATCATTGGGATCTTGTACCTGTACATGACGTATCAGGTTCTTATTTTTCCCCCATTCCCCAGCCCTCCCTTTAGCCCTCTACTCTTCCCTGTTTAAAAAGATATTGTTTCCATGTTTTTCCTTTTCATATATTTTTTTCTTTTTCTTCCCTTTCCCCTATCCGTCCCACTTCCTCTACTCTTTTAGAATTTTCTTCCTATTACACAATATCAATTATACATTTTAATCCTTATTTACACTTTTACCTTTTCATACCAGAGAAACTATTCAGTATTTACACATGTGTAGCCTATTAATTTCACTTGAGTGTGGCCTCAGTGTGCATCCACTTAGCTATAAATCTCTCTAGTTTCTTGTTTGTTATGGCTGAGTAGTATGCCATTTTATATATATATTAAAAAAAAAAAGCACATATCTTCTTTATCCTGTCTCCAGTTGATGGGCAATTGGGATGTTTCCAAGTTTTAGCTATTACAAATCGTGCTGCTATAAACATGGGTGTACATATATCACTGTGCTATGATTCTTTTAATTCTTTTGGGAAGATACCCAGCAGAGGGATAGCTGGGTCAAGTGGGACTTCTAAGCCTAGTAGTTTGAGGTATCTCCATATTGATTTCCAGAGTGATTGCACAAGTCTGCACTCCCACCAACAATGAAGAAGGTTTCCTTTCTCCCCACACCCCTGCCAGCATTTGTTATTGGTTGATTTCTTGATAGCAGCTAATCTTATTGGGGTGAGATGGAATCTCGATGTTGTTTTCATCTGCATCTCTAGAATGACCAGTGATGTGGAACATTTTTTCATATGATTATTTGCTGCTTTTACTTCTTTGGCTGAGAAATGTCTGTTCATTTCAAATGCCCAGTTGTGAATTGGATCTTTATATTTGGGGGTTCTGATTTGTTTTAGTTCTTTATGATAGTAGACCTTTGAGGAAAAGCTGGTAAGATTAAATTGTGGGTTGTCTCTTAGCTTTGTTTGTGGTTTCTCTGGCAGAGCAGAAGCTTTTTTTTTTTTAAATTGGGCATTGAATTTGGGTGCTTGCACTTGTGAGGAGGGGCGGCAGCACCACTGAGCTAAATCCTCAGCCCAGTGCAGAAGCTTTTTCAAAAAGATGAGAATCCCAATTATCGATTCTTTGGGGGGAAGAAAGGGCAAGTTATAAAGTGGTTTCTTTTTTATCAAATGGTCAAAATGACTATATCCTCTCTTGGTCTCTCTATTCACCAAGTCCCCTGTATTAATGAGTTTAAACCAATTAGTATATTCCAACATAGTAACAAAGATTAAAGATCACTGATTGCCATGTCAGACAGGGGGGAACAGATGTGACACTAGATGCTGAAGATTTTCCCAGTCTGTGTCCTCATCTTTTTGGCCCCAGAGTAAAACACTCTGGAAATGGCTTTCAGAGGAAGTCAGGATAACGTGTATTCCTTGGGCCATGGACTCGATGGGTGTATTTCTCTGTTTCACCATCTGAAGGCTTATATTAAGTAACCAGATGGATTGAAGGCTGCCTGTGGAAGACCTGCAGTTGAAGTAAATATCCCAAAGCTTAAAACGTTTGTAAAGTGTTACTTTGTCTTTGCCATCAATACATAGTGTTTTTTCCTAGTCTTTCTTCCCAAAAGCTCTCATTTCAGAAAAAATGCAGTTGGGTTTATTTATGAGCTCTTTCCCACACAGGCCTGAAAAAGGCGAGTCTAACACGGACTTCTTGACTGAATGGGGCAGCAGCCAGGGAATGTGGGATGGGGCACTGTGTTCATAGTTTTCAAAGAATGTCAGCATTCTGGTGGGTAGGCTGCAGCAAGCAAGCTGAAGATGGGCTATGAAATGAGTTCACTGAGTCAGAACATCCTCCTGTGTTCTCAGTGTTAAGCGGGGAAGGCTGGCCTCTACTCTTTAATGATATGTGAAAGATTTGGCTCTGTCCTTTCCAAAGGGCGAGAGACCAACTGCAGGCGAATGCTTTGTAATGGAGACAGAAATGAGCTCCATATTTTCTCTCCCAATTCTACAATACTAATTTTGAGGAATGTCAATATATTTGCTACTTTATTTTTAACTGAAATATTAACTTGATCTAGAAAAAACTTTCACTCAAAATCTGAATTTATACCTCCATTGAAAATGACAAATATTGACATTTCTTTTATGCCTTTAGCAACTTGGAAACTTTGCTGCCTGGTCTGGTAGTTTTCTCATGGATGATAGCATGTCTAATACTCTAAATAGCCTTGAGGATCAAGCTACCGAGTTTTATGGTATGGATGAAAATCAAACTGTGTCTGTGCAGCAGAATTCACCCACAAAGTTCCTGGCTGTGGAGGCAAATGCTGTGTTGTCTTCTCTACAGACCATCCCAGAATTTGCAGAGACCCTAGAACTTATTGAATCTGTAAGTTTGAGATTGTAAAATTTTCAAAAACTTGATTTTGCTTACATGATTTCATGCTCAGAAATGCAATTTTGAGGACATTTATTATTTTGTATACCATACAATAGCTTTTTGACAAAAAAAGTTTAAATCTTTTCTCAAGCATGTGCCTTATAAAGAATTTTTATAATTAAAAACAGTTCATTTTTATTAAAGTTGTACAAATGCATCAGAGAATGTTGGAAACTAGTGAGAACTGTAAAGAAGAAAATTAAAGTTCTTCTATACTCAGAGTTAATAATTTCAAGTATTCCTTTCAGTTTGCTTTGTATATGCAGAAAACATATGTTTCTTTTAAATCAAAAGATTTAAAAGATCTCTTTTATCTTCCATTTATATCATGAGCATATCTTTGTTTTCAGAATTGTTTTTTAAACTTGAGTTTTAGTGGCTTTATAGTATTCTATTCAGATGAATGTAAGAAAATTTATTTACTGAACGTATTCTTATTGGACAGTTGGCAATATTACTGATAAAATTTTCAGTATTACTGATAACAAAAAGCATTTATATAAAGCTTTGTGCAAAATCATGATTATATCTTCAGGTTAAATAGAGTTTCCGGATCAAAGTATATTATCATTTTAAAAATGTTCCACACCTATTACCAAAATATTCTGTAGCATTTGATAGTGTTTTCCTGATGTGAAGTGAATATGAAATTTTATGATGAATGATACATTTTGATAGCTTAAAATCATTTGTTCTTTTTATATAAAATATATTGACAGTAGGTTAATATTTTAGAATGTTCTAAATTGGAATTGTAGGAAAAACAGAATTTGTTTCTCTCAGATGGTCTTGCTTAAAATTTCTACTAATAATGACTAGTTAAATAACTCAGTGGAAATCATCATCCTGTGGTTAGGATCCGATTTTAACTAGTTACAGTATTAACTTTAGTTAATAATTTAATTTATCACAGGACCCTGTAGCATGGAGTGATGTTGCCAGTTTTGATCTTTCTGATGCTGCTGTTTCTCCTGTCAAGTCCACCCCAGTTAAACTAATGCGAATTCAACACAATGAAGGAGCCATGGAATGTCAATTTAGTCTTGTACTGGAAGGGAAGAAAAATAATTGCAATGATGGAAACAGTGAAGCTGTTCCTGTAACATCCCCAAATGTAGCCAAGTTTAGCACTCCACCCACCATCCTCAGAAAGAAGAGAAAAATGCGAGTGAATCAGTCCCCTGGTAGTGAACTTGGTGAAGGCTCATTCAGTGACGGCGTTAACGCAGCATTAAAACACACACCAGTGAAAACTCTACCATTTTCTCCTTCACAGGTATAATGTTGTTTTATATGGTTTCCAAGGTTGATGAACTAGGTTAAATTAAATTAGATCTCTAGTATCCTTAATAGCAGTTGGTTGCATTGATAATACATGGAAATAGATAATGTGTTTAAATGTAATACATGAGGTAAATCAGGTGTTTCACAAAGTGTTGTAGTAGCTGCATTGTATCCTACAATTCTAAGAGCTGAAAAGGACTTTTTTGTTTTGGTTATGTAGTCCCACTCTTTGTAGGACTCATCAGGAAACCAGCCCAGAAAGAGAAAATGATTTGTCCAAATTTATATTATGCTGAGGTAAGACTGAAATCCAGTTTGACTCCTTGATTAAATATACCTGAGAAGATATAGAGAGCCCTCATCTATTTGGAGTAATTTAGATTTTAGTTTACCTGTTAAATTTTTCTTTTTAACATTTTTTGGAAGAAACTTAGAAAACTGCTTACTGTAAGAATCTCATCAGAAAGTTTCCTAGGGATATCAAAAACTGATTTTTCCTTTAGTAATATCCCTGAGCAGCAAATGTTTATATTAGGACAGTTTCTTGTTGAATATATTATATTCCACAGTGTGCACAAAACACTTTTCTTACAGCATTTCAGTTAAACACTAGGGGTTAAGTGAATGAAATTTTGAGAGTGAGCCACATGTCCTTGCTCACAATAGGAAATAAGAGTTGCGATTTGCTGAAAGTGGTTTGATAGGCTAAAAGGTGTTATGGGGAGTGTAGGGAATTTAATGGTCTAATACATGGAGAACACTGGGGTATATTTTGAGGTCGAGAAGATTAATAGGATCTGGCATTGGCAGTATTCATTGCTGGAATCTGAAAATTGTGTCCCATGCTTCAAGAGGTAACATTTACATGGAGTACAATGTGAATAATGAGTGCATCATTTCTTTACTCCCTCTCCAGGCCTCAGGGTTACAAAGCAACTCAAGGAAGGTGAAATAGGCTTGGGCACACTTAACAGTTTTCCATTTCTGGAGTTTTATATGCTAGCAATTTTTATTGAAGTGTAAATTCTAAAGTCAAAAGTGGCTGGAAACTTATATCCCATGGCAGAGATTTGTATTTTTATCCTGTAAAAGAGGGTTGGATTGCTAATCTTAAAATAATTCAAACATTGAGACTCACTGTAGACTTTGTATAATTTAAAAAACAGACTTTGATGCTAATTTTGTCTGTTCAGAGGTTCTGTGTTGTGTTTTAGATGGGCAAAATTAGGCAAATTTGCCAGATAGCTGTATTTATCAGCAAAGCATTATTATTGTATCTTTTTTTCTTGAGCCGGGTTCTTGCTTTTTTGCCCAGGCTGGCCTTGAACTTCTGTGCTCATGATCCTCCTTGTCACCAGTGGGGTCCAAGAAGTTTCTCCCAAAGAGGAGATGGGGCCCTAACTCAGCCAGCTGAATAGGTATACTCACTGACTTATGTCATGGAAAATAAATTCAGGATGTGTCAGTGTGGGACATAGCAGGTTTACTAGGCAGGGTTACAAAATAAGAGAATATAGGAAAAGCTTGCATAACTGCAAAGATTCTCAGGCTGATGCAAGGGTTTGGACTAGCCCCCTCACAAAAGCGCAAGGCCAGCTTTTATGGGTTAGCTGAGATGGGCCAGGGTCCCCTAAGTCCTTATGATTGTTATTGCTCATCATGGGTGGTTTGTGAGCCTTTGATTTAATAGGTTTAGCACTTTTATTTGGTGTCCTCAGTCCTGGGGTGGGGTGAGATTGGTCAGGTAAATTTAAAGCTATAGACCTTGTTTTGCCAACTTTTCTTAAATGACTAGCATTTCTAAGTGCCGAGCTGAGCAGGAATCTGACCTAGAGTTTTAAAGTACTAAGGGATTAAAAAAAAAATGTAATTTCTTTTTTTTCTTTTTGCCTAATTCTTTTATCCTACCTCACTCCTGCCTCAACCTCTCAAGCAGGTGAGACTACCACTGTGCCCAGCCTTTCATTATATTTTGAATTCATGTTACTCTCGTAGAAAAGGCCATTTAAGATCACTTGTTAATAATAGAACTAAAATACATTTTGTACAGCACTACAACTGTGTTAACAGTTAACACAGCAGCTATTTATGATTTGCATAGATCTCTGAACACACCATTTTGTTTTAAAACTTATGTACTGTTCTTTTTACTTTGAACATTTGTTAAACAACTTTCTTGAATGCCTGTTTTATACTAAACACAATTCTAAGAACTGTGGAGTAGCAGTGAGCAAAAAGACAAAAAGTCCTGTCCTTATGAAGCTTATTGTCCATGAAATAGTATAAATGTAATATTGATAATCTTTTCCTGAAGCAAATGAGAAAATAATTGGATAGTTTAATATTTGTGTAGGGATCTTGCTATTCTAAAAATGCTCTTAAACTCTTTCTTTTTTAGTTTTTCAATACATGTCCTGGAAATCAGCAACTTAATATCGAAAATCCTTCATTTACATCAACCCCTATTTGTGGACAGAAAGTTCTTATTACAACTCCTCTTCAGAAAGAAACAACCCCTAAAGATCAAAAAGAGAACGTAGGGTAAGTAGGTATTAAGTAATTGTCCTAGAGAAGATGGGGAGTATAATGTCAAGTGCAGCTTAGCTTTTTGTCCAAATAAACAGAATGTATCATAATTCCTACCCTAACAAAAAGTCAAAACCTCATGTTTTATCCTTAGAAAACTGAAATCTGGCTTGATATAGTGTAAAACTTTGATTCCAAGCAAAACAACTTTTTTAGTATTTTTTCCTAACAGTCTTTTCTAAGATGATTGAATGGAGTAAAAGTTATTTAGTCAGCCACACTTTAAAGTAGCCCTGGGGCCAGGGATGTAGCTCAGCGGCTCCATGCCTGCCTGGCAAGCACAAGGTCCTGAGTTCGTTCAATTCCTGGTACCTAATAATAATAATAATAGAAATAATAATAATAATAAATAAAATAGCCCTAGTATGTTTAAATAAAGCATGTACATATGCCAGAAAATTTTAATTATGCTTTAGCTTACCTTTGGCTTGCTGAACATATGTGAAATCAAATTGTAACTATAATACAAGTATGTAAATGATTAAATAGGTTCAGAACACCTACTATTAGAAGATCTGTGTTGGGTACCACACCAAGAACTCCTACTCCTTTTAAGAATGCACTTGCTGCTCAGGAGAGAAAATATGGACCTCTTAAAATTGTGGTATGTATACTTTTTTACTTAAGAATGAATTTTCCTATAGCTGGGCGTGGTGGCACACACCTGTAATCCCAGCCCTTGGGAGGCTGAGGCAGGAGGATCACCATGAGTTCGAGACTAGCCTGCACTACATAGTGAGTTCCAGGTCTCACATAGTGAGACCCTGTCTCAAAAAATCAAAAAAAAAAAAAATAAATAAATAAAAAAGGAATTTTCCAAATTTTAATAAAACAAAATAGATTTTATCACCTTTAATTTTTTTATCTTTTCTTTTTATTGGTACATGTTTGCAGTACATAATAATTACATTCCTTGTGGAGAGTTGGTACATGTACATAACACAACTTAATTTTTTTTATCCCTTACCCCTCATCTCTTGGTCCTCTTCCCTTTTGCAAAAGATCTATCTCCCTGATTCCTATTTTCTATCTTTTATTTTGTTTTTTAATCATTTATACTTTGGATTTCTCATATAAGAGGAAGCATGAAATATTTAAGCTTATGTCTGATTTATTTAACTTAACATTATGTGTCAAGGTACATTTTCCTATAGTTTTTATCACTTTGATTTTTAGCATTAAAGAAAGATGTTCACTGAAAGTGAAAGTTTTATTTCTTTAAAGTTTTTATTTTTGTTAATCTTTTTCCTTGACCATAAATAATCATTTTAAGAAAGCAAAATAGTAGTTAAGGAACCTTTTTCATAATACTAAAACCTACATTTTAGTAGTTTCAGTAACAGTTACCTGGAGTAGAATAACATAATTATAATATTTTTTTCTTTTTTTTTTTTTTCCATTAAGTTTTTGGGTACATTTCAGGTATACAGTACAGTTACAATCACTGTTGGGATCTTGTACCTTTACATGATGTATCTTGGTTATTTTTCCCCATTCCTCTGCCCTCCCATCACCCCCTCCACCTTTCCCTACTTACAAAGACTTTGTTTCCATTTTTCCTTTTCTCTTAGTTTTGTTTTCCGTTCTTGCCTTTTCAATACTCTTCCCACTTCCCCTACTCCTTTAGACCTTTTCTTCCTATTTCACATTATCAGTTATACAATTTGAACCTTATTTACACTTTTAGTTTTTTACACCAAAGAAACTATTTGGTATTTACACATGTGTCCTTTTTATTTCACTTAAGAGTATGACCTCAATATACCTCCATATAGCTATAAATGTCTCTAGTTTCTTGTTCTTTGTGGCTGAGTAATACTCTGTTTTATAGAAAAACCACATCTTTTTTATCCAGTCTCCAGTCGATGGGCTATTTCCAAGTTTTAGCTATTACAAACTGCTGCTATAAACACGGGTGTGCATATATTGCTGTGGTATAATTCTTTTGTAAAGATACTCAGGAGAGAGATGGCTGGGTCAAATGGGACCTCTAATTCTAGTTTTTTGAGGTATCTCCATATTGATTTCAACAGTAGTTGCACCAGTCTGCACTCACCAACAATGGAGAAGGGTTCCTTTCTCCCCACAACCTCACCAGCATTTGTTATTGGTTGATTTCTTGATAGCAGCCATTCTTTTTGGGGTGAGGTGAAATCTCAGTGTTGTTTTCATCTGCATCTCTTGAATGACCAGTGACGTTGAATATTTCTTCATATATTTTTGATGTATGTAGGCAGTTAATAGTATTTAGGAAGCTAATTGATCAGGGTACCTCTCTAAGGCTCAGTTTCCTCTTCTATGTAAAGGAGATCATAAAATATACCCTATTATTGTGAAGCTGGTCGAGTTAATAGAAATAAAGGGGCTTGTCCTGAATTTCAAATAGAAGTTGCACTTCATTGCTGCTATGTTTTTCTTTTGTTCATTATTATTATTTTTTAATGTTGGAAATTGAACACAGATTCCCCTGTATGCTAGGTAAATGCTGTACTATGAGCCACATCTCCAGGTATTATTAACATTATAGTAGTGTTTCCAATAGTTTATGAATGACTAGAATTAGGAAGTGTTCTGGTTGTCTATGCTTTCATAAATATTGTTACCTTTGAAACCTTAGAAAAACCATGGATATTCTAGACAAACACAAAATTTTGACAAGTTCATTAGAAATAAAATATGATCTAAAAAATGCTGGTCTCTTCTAGGATATTTTAGTTATGTTCTATTTTGGGGTAGATTTATTAATAAGCTAGTATTTTAAAAAATTATTTTGCAGTAAAACTAGTTAGTTAATTTAAGTAACTACAGAGAGTAGGAGAAAATTATGCTAGCAATGGAAAAGTATAAAAGATAGGTTTCTTTCTAATGATTTTTTTTAGTATATAATTCAATACATAAGAATATTTATCATGGAGTATTGGTAAAAATAAAATAGGTTTTCTATATATGGGGAGAAAAAAGAATTGTCTCACAGCAACTTTTTAAAACCCTTTTTAAAAACAATTTAGTCCCAGCCACTTGCCTTCTTGGAGGAAGATATTCGAGAAGTTTTAAAAGAAGAAACTGGAACAGACATATTCCTCAAAGAGGAAGATGAACCTGCTTATAAAAGCTATAAACACGAGGTGATCTTTTACTATTATTGTTCATAAAAGTCCTTATGTCCAAGTGATTTGGCTATAATGCTTTTTTGGTAATTATTCATTCTAGCATACTCCTTCTGTGAAGAAAGTCAGAAAGTCACTAATCTTAGATAATTGGGAAAGAGAAGAACCAGGCACCCAACTACTGACTGAAGATATTTCAGACATGCAGGTTGGTAGAGGATTAATGTATTTTTACTCATTGTGTGTCTACTTTATTAGAGATTCATATAGATTCCTTTAGAATTATTTTGGCAAATTCAGAGAGAAACTTTTAACACTAAAGGGTACTTTACTTCTTTGCTTTTATTTTAATACTTGAGGAATTAACTCTTTTCTGTATGATGTAAAAAAAACAGTTGCAAAACTTTACATTTCAGTATTTATCTTTATTTCATTTCCAAAATATTTAATATTATTGCATTACTACAAATTTCATCAGAGCCAAATGCATACTTGGAGGGAAATGAACAGGGCTTCCATTAGCACTTACTGAGTAGTCCCTCTTATTTGTTTCCAGTTTTGAATCAGTTATTTCCCTCTTTCTTTTTTTTTTTTTTCTTAGTCAGAAAATATATTTACAACATCCTTATTAGTGATACCACTATTGGAAATACACGACAGTAGGTGCAACTTGACTCCTGAGAAACAAGATATAAATTCAGCCAACAAAACATATACACTCACTAAAAAGAAACCAAACCCTAACACTTCTAAAGTTGTTAAATTGGAAAAGAATATTCAGGTATGGATTTACAAATTTCTTTAGTGATTTTTGTTGCTTACTCAATGATCACTTTAGACATACTGATCACAAATTATACTTTTAAATTTGAAACTGACGATAATATCTAAACATTCATGATCTTTTCACTCAGAGTAGGTTTTGGGTTTAGAGTATATATCAACTATACAGTTGCAATTGTAGCCAAAAACTTTTGGTGCTTTCTTAAGCACTGTTTTCTTTTTAAACTGTAGATTCCCAGTTCAACTTCTGGCACCTCTTTTCCTATAACAAATACGTGTCCCTAGTTGCTATCTTGAAAGGATAAGTGGTTAGAAGCAGTTTCAGCATGATTTTGTTGGTATAATGATTCCCAGTAAACACTTTGGCACAGAAATTGTAAAACAAAATCCCTTTTTCATGTTGCTGTATGGCCGATATAGAGATGTATATGAATGCTGGAAAAAATTTTTATTAAGTTATCTTAAGAGTTAACCTCACAAAATATAAGAGTTAATTCAGGAGGAAGGTTTCTTTATACCACAAGAACTGCAGCATAATATTCCTGATTTTTAAGCATTCCTTGAAAACATCTCTGGCAGTCAGATATGGCTACCTCCCATCTGTCTTAAGCTTCTGCTATCAAAGAACCATGTAACATATTCTTTTAATATATTTTAAATGTTTTTGAGTTCCCAGTGTTTGATTAATGTACAATTTTGGGGGGAAAGTTTACTTTATAGCAAATCATACCTATAATGTAGTAATCTTTACTCTTTAAAAAGAGAAAACAAATCAAGCTCAACTTTGTGTAATGTATATATTTTCTAATGTGTAAGTCATAAAGTATTCTTGGTTCATTTTTTGACATTATATCCTCTTTACAAAAATTTTTTTTTCCTTTTGGTGATGCTAGAGCTCAAATAGGCCTTGCTGCATGCTAGACAGTTCCTGTACCACTGAGCTCCATGCCCAGCCCATCTCTCTTTAAAACTTCCACAAAATTTTGAAGCAGTGGAGACTTAACATTTCTTTCCATATTGCGATTCATTTGATTTGTGAAGAGTTGTTGGGAACAAAGCTTTTATACTGTTTCCAAAGGCCTGTGAGCAATATAGATAGTTAAAATAGCTGACTTGAAAAAAGATTAAAAATATTTTAGTGTGTATTTATAAAGCATAACATTTCTTCATAAAGAAGAAACAGTGCCATTATCAAAACATTTTCACAGTATTTATATGATAATTGAATTTTAAAAGTGAAGTAGTCTGGACAGATTTTTATGATTTTTCAAATCACTATTGATATTTTCTTCCTAGTCAAATTATGAATGGGAAACCGTAGTTTATGGAAAGACAGAAGACCAGCTCATCATGACTGAACAAGCAAGAAGATATCTGAGTACTTACACAGCTACCAACAGCACTTCAAGAGCTCTTATACTGTAATTGTTACTAAAATGGGTGAAATGTCCCATTATCTTACTGTATTCTATACAAAATTAGGTTACAATGAAATTTTTCTCATTTGTAAATTTTTAATGTAGTCTTAAGACAATTTACATCTATTTTCTATATAGGGCAGGCAAGAAAGCTAATAAGCCACTTATGTAAGAGATAGGCAATTTCATTGCTTATTTTTTAAAGAGATGAGAGTTTTAAAAATTGTTTTTACAGGTAGGAAAAAAGAAAAGAATGTTCATGAATACTCCAAAATTAAATTCTCACACATTTTCTTCACAAGGTATATGTTGCTACCTGCTTGAGGCTGCAGTTTTGTTATAAAGTATATGAGAATGAGTGATCTCTGAAATTAGTCTATGCATGGAAAGCACACATGGTTTTATGAACTTTTATCCATGTGCTAGTTAGGCTACTATTCACAAAGAAACACAGTGGGAAGGAGTCTAAAGGAAAATAGAAAGTTGCACTACTCTACTTATTCTTGGTATTTTTCACAAACAGTAAAATTAACTACAGTGTTAAGTGTATTTATTTGAGCATAGTACTTAAAAAAGCATTGAAAAGGGTTTTTTTGCCCTTATTAGTAAAGAGTCAGTATTTTCTTCATAAATCTCAGAAAAGCTGAGTTTTGTTGAATGTATTGTACAGTATGTAGGAGCAGGAGAAATTTGTAAATTGGAAGGAAATCTGTTTTTATAATTTATTTTCATTTTTAAAGCTTAAATGTAGATATTTATTTGTATACAGGATGTCTAGAAGTCATTGTTGTTTCCTGTCATTATAGATAACATAGTAAAGAACAGTTTTGACCTTTAAATATGAAACAGTAAGTTTTAGCTGCGAAGAATACAATATCTATACTGTATGTCACATCTACCTAAATATTGCACTATACCCTTTAAATCATGTTGGTTATAAAGTAGTTCTAAAAATGTACTAAATAATAATTTAATGTTTTCTTTTTAAATTATATTGGGTCATATAAATTAATCTGGTGATTTGTATATGTATTTGAAACTTTTGAATTTTGTTTAAAAAATAATATGGTACCTTGGTCTCTGAGAACAGTCTGCACTTAGAAGTTTATTATATTTACTCAAAGTTTCAGAAGTAGAGAACATTATCTTTTATTTATAAAAATATTTTGTCCTTTTATAAATGTTTTGTGTTTCTTCACAGGTTACAAAACAATTGCTTCAGTTGCCTCTTTTAGGTGTTTGCACTTATTTTATTTCTTCTTGAAAGAAAGTCGTTATTTGCTTTTGTGGTAGAGATTTTATGTAATTTTTTTGAGACATATAATGGTGTGCTGTCAACTTAAACACTGACAGGCAAATAGAATTGTACACTGTAGTTTGAATTATTTATAATTGACACACTCTCTCCCTCTCCACTCCTGAAATATGCTGCTATAAAAATAGCAGAATCGGCTTGCTGCTATGAGAGATGGAAAGAGCGACCACCACTTGCACTGTGTGAAAGATAAAAAGCAAATGATGGCAGGTTCTCAAGTTGACTTAATGGAATCAACCATTACCAGGCAAATTCTCACAAATGCCAAAATACTCTGCCTTATAACAAAACAAAAAGAGTTTAAGATTTTTCTGATATGTTTTTATGTTAGTAGAAATGGAAGTGCTAAGCATTTTAATGCCTAACTCTTGAACAGTAAACCTATAAGGTTTTAAGCTATTTAAATCCACTCGATAGTTTTTGCATACTATATGTTAGTGAGAAGTAAAGACTATGTATGGTACTAAGATTATGCCTCATGATAACAAATAGATAAGCCAGTTAAATCTTCTTAGCATATTTTAAAAGTATGTTTGATTGCTTTCCAATTAATGAACTTCTCACAAAAAAATTCACTTTGTAAAACCAATGACTGTGGCAAAACTAGACTGCCACCTTGAACTAATAGTACATAATGGCTTTTGTTTCTTGGTTTAAAAAAAAAAATGTAGCCCTTAGCTGGATTGGATGCACATAGTCTCCAATCACCAAAATATAGTATCTTTGAAAAGTTATGGTTTTTTAAAGCATAATTTTTCTTGAGCATTAAATTATCCCTAAGATAATATATTGTGGATCAGCCTGGGCTTCTTGGACATAGTATATATTTGGGTTGGTATTGGTTGAATCCTCCAGTTAACTGCTTTATTGCTTTTTGCAAGATTTTTAATCATAAACATGTCAGGCATCTTAAGTCACCTTTTTTTTTTTTTTACCTGTTGTGTTCATTTGAATTTCTTGCAATCTGTTATGAAATGCCAGACATACAGGTAGCAGCCATACTTGCATGGAAACTGACTACGCATATATCATACTGCATTTTGTTTGTAAGGTTTTTGCATTAATACAGCAATTATCCTGAATAAAATTAGTTTTTTGATATATGAGAAAATTTCCCATTGTAAGAGAATCTTGCATACGATGCTGATGTTTATAAACATCCAAATAAAACATTGTGTACAAACTGACTTGGTATTGCCTATTTAATTTTGGTTTCGTGTTTCAAAATTCTTAAGGGCTGAATGCAACATATTGCTTTTGGGCCTTTTTTTCCTCTTAAAACTCCCTTTACCAGTTATTTTATCTGTTAACATAATGTGACTTCACTGACTAGTGATCATTCAGAACCACATCTTCAACTTCCTTTTAGATACTTCTGTGTAACTCTTTTTCCCAGTTGTGATCTACCCTACCTTTGTTCTATCTCTAAGTGATATTGCTTCTCTTCCTTCACTCATTGAGTAATCTCCTATCTTTGCCTCAGGTCCCCTCCCCACATTAAAATTTGTTGTAAATTCTCAGCTTGTATTAGTCATTGTTCTAATTCTGTAGAACTCATTCTATAGAAATATAAAAAATCTGCAGAAGGACACTAGGAAGTCATCTGGGCAAGGCTAATTAGTCACCCAGTCTTGGCAGCATTGCATTCCCTCTATGAATTAATTATCACCTTTAGGCTTGTAGTTTCAGAAATTTGTTGGAATTAGCACACTGAAAATAAGTTTACCTCTCTATAGAAGGCTTATATCAACTATGAGACTGATACATGATATCAGAATGCCAATCGATTTGTAGTGTGAAATAAAACTGCTGAGTAGACAGCATATTCTCACCTTATATGTAATAAGAAAGAAACAAATATAAAAAACATCACATCTTGTGAAAAATTCTTTGTCTAGCATGATTAGAAAATCTTGCTAAGTATTAAGTTGAAATAATGAAAAAGTTACTTAAGACTATCAGAATACTAACCATAGTTAATCTGCATGAAATTTTTTTGCCTTATGACAAAACTATTACTCAAAATCTTTTAGCTTATTTTTATAACCATGTAATTTCCTGCTTTATTTATCTAATTATAGAGTGATAGGTCTCCTAGCCATTCAGACTAGACATTTAATTTCTAATGTAAAACTGATGATAGTATTTGGAGAAATACTTCTTACTCTGAAGAAAAAATTTATTTTTTAATAAATTTAAAATATTTTAAAATAAATTTAAATTTAAATAAATAATAAAATTATTATCAGATTATGTAATAGTACACTGAACCAAGTGGAACTCTACTGGAATATTATACTTTCCCTAGTCTTTTTAAAAAATTAGTATGAATATACTCAAGAATATTTGAAATGTATCAGAAAACTAACAGTTTACTTGGAAAAGCTTACTTGTGACTGATGTGTTTTTGAAAACTTTATCTTAGCACAAATATATTAAAAGCTCTTGAGTTAGGTGCAAACTCAGTATTTGAAGTAGTATAATGTTCTTCACTTATTTCTGAAGTTCTCAGACTTGTGCGCTTATTTAAGTTCCAAGTACAGAATGTACTTGGTTTGATTGGATTTTCCTGGCTAGCACAGGAAAAGCAGGAGGGAGATTCACTTTACTGTGTTTGCACTGTAACTGTGCCAACCATAGCTCCAAAGGTTTGAGCAGATGCTGACATAATTTCCTAAGTCCTAGGACAGTTAGGACTTATTTATTCAGTTTAACTGAGTGCTTACTGTGTCTTGTACTAGGTACTGTGGTAAGCAGTACATGACCCTTCATGGAGACTGGTACTATATTCTAGAAGGAGAGATAAGTATATAATAAAAATATTTTCCTTTGGGGAAAAATATGAACGAAGTAAACAAATTCTTTGTTACATGTGTACATGGTTGGATACTGAGTGGACAATGTGGGTTTTTTTTTTTTCTTTCTCTCATTGAGTTTATTGGTACATTTTAGGTATACAGTACAGTTACATTCATCATTGGGATCTTTACATGACAGGTCTTGGTTCTCATTTTTCCCCTTGTCCCTTCCCTCCCTTCACCCCTTCTCCCTCCTCCTTTACAAACACTTCATTTCCATTTCTTCATTTTCTCATATTTTTCTTTTCCCTTATTAGCTTTCCCCTACCCTTCCCACTTTCCCTACACCTTTAGCCCCTTTCTTCCTATTTCACATGGTCCATTATATCATTAGGATCTTATGTTGGGTTTCTTTCCCCTCCAGTAGACAGAATTAGCTGGGTTAGGTGGTTCACTGGAGTCTTGCACAGACTAATAGTGCAAGTTCAATGTTACAGTCATGCCAGCCACTATGCTAAACCCTCTACAAGTAGAATTGCATTTAATTCTTATAATCCTGTGAGATAAGCACAGCTATAATATACTTTTATGGATACAGAAACAGGCTCAGGTTAAGATATTTGTCCAGACTCACAATAAAATGCTGACCCTAGGATTTGGTCATCCGAGGTTTGAGTTGATGTTTAAGCATTGGGCACAAAATATTGCATGGTATATGATTCTGTTTGTACAAAAGCACAAAAACAGGTAAAGCTAATGTTTGCTCTTAGAAGCTAGAGTAGTGGTCACCCTGCTTGAGAAGATTGTTGAAAGGAGCATGAGAGAGTTTCTAGGTTGTTGCAATGCTTCATTTCTTGCTCTGGGTGCTGATTTCATGGTTATGCTCACAGTTTGAAAATTCAAGCTCTACTCTCAAGCTCTGCTATTAATGATGTGGAGTTTTCTGTTAAGTACATTATTCAAAACTAAGTTTAAAAATCAAGCCTAAGTTGGGTAACAAAGGAAACATTACCATTACTCTCTAGCATATGCTAGGCTCATTTCTCCTGGCTAAGTTTAAGCTAAAGTTCTACATATGTAAATGATTATTTTCTGTAGTGATTATCATACTTTAATCAGAAGAGCTTACTCTGCTCAACTGCATAATCCCTGGCTCAAGCCAAATCAAATAGACATAATTTCTCATAAATAAAATTGTTCATCTTTTAAATTTTGCCTGGTCTCTTCTACCTTGAAGTTCATGCTTTTACTCCCACTTCCACTTAAATATCCATTTTCAATAAATATTTCATCACAAAATATTCATCTGCATAATGTAGTCCACTAGTTACTTTGTACCTTATGAACTGCTTTGTTTGTTTAGAGTTGACATTCACTTAGCCAACATTCACTCATGTAAGTAACTCACTCTACTCCCAAGGTTCCTGTTGGCTCAGGGATAGAAAGCTAGCAGGCCTCTTCCCAGTTTATCAAACACTTCAGTTGCCTGTATGTGCAAATAATGTTACATAACAGGACTCTACATTAAAAAAAAACTTTAATATATTTTGTTTGATACATTCAAAGTATCAATGTAATTAATATACACTAAAGATGTATTTAACCTCCACCCTGCCCCTTTGTAAGTCTGCACTTAAAGCAAATCTTAATTCAGACTTGCCACATGTCAAGGGATCAATTGCCACATAGCTAGTAGTTATTGTACACTGGTTTATGCAGTTATAAGTTGCATGGAATTTGCAGAGAAACTTTTTTTTTTTTGGTACTGGGGATCAAATTTGGGACCTTGCACTTAAGAGA